ATCGAGAACAACGGTAGCCTGAACCGTGGCACCATCATTGCAAATCAACAAAGACTTTGATTCCTCATGAATAACCTTAATAACCTTTGCCTGATGAAATTTCACACCATTGCATATGCACTTCAGCAACATTTTGGACTTGAGCTGCTTCCTGTTAACCCTTCCATAAGGTCTATCGAGCTGTTTCGTTCTTCGGTCATCGATATACACACCGGCACTGGACCAAGTCATATCGAGGCAATCGAGCAAATCCATAGCTTCGAATTCATCCACCCAAGCACCATAGTTATTAGGCCAGTGAAACCCGCTGAGCAACAGCAAGACCAGCAGGGTCACCTCCAACAACCGCTAAATCCACCACAGTACCTTTTGATGGATCAAATATAGGAAGCTCAACCTCTAGATTTTCCTTCATAGTTTCTGGAACCAACTCTAAAAGAGCACTTCTACTTGCCTTAACCTTAACACAACCATTATCATCCCTACCACTTCTCAAGTAGGATTTTTTGGGACCAAACTTAACCTCATGGACTTTATTAAAAGATTTCACAGAGAACCCATGGAGTAGTAGAAGCGAAAATTCGAGCTTGCTGTGCGTTCTAAGTAAAGTATCCATGGAATTCCAACAAAGCGTCTTCTAATACCTTACTCAAATCCAAAAAAAAAAAAGTTTCTTCTAGATCATTACTGCTAGAAATTGAGCTTACAGCATTGAATCTGGGGAAAATGAATTGAAGAATGAGAAGAAGAGACTCACCAAAACAAGGGAATGAATTGAAGAAATGGAGAGAAACCTGGGGTATGCCTCATTTGTGGAGCTTCATAGATAGAGAATTCTAAAGCTCGAGTGCCCGGTTTTCAACGACACACGGAAGTGTGGCGTGGATTTCCGCTTCTTTTTTTATAATTTGCGTAAACTACAGTATAGGTTACTAAACTATATTAAAAAGGTTTTATAGTCACCTAATTTTCAAAAGTTATAAACTAGTCATTAAAGTTTTCTAACAATTACCAAATAATCATTGCATTTTATCAAAATATTATAAATTATCATTAAACTTATCAAAATTTAAAATTAATTATAACATTTTATTGATTATAGTTTGGTAAATTAATAATTATTTTATTACTTTTAAAAGTTTAATGACCAAAAAGATTATTTTAACATAATTCAATAACTTAGAACTATTTTTTTTTCGAGAGCGGAGAGAGCACTTTCATTTTGTTTTACGAATGCATGGAACTCCACGTGTCTGCCTGGAGGACCAATATTAGTGCCTCAAGTCAGAATCGAAATAGTTATCCACTGAGAGGACATTAAAGAAATCTATAGGTTCTAATTTGGTGAATATAAATGATAAAATTAAATTATTTTCAATTCTAAATTAATACAGTTAATTAAATTTATAAATTTCAGTTTTATTATAAAAAATAATTTAAGGGAAGTATTTTTATTTATAATTATTTATTGATACAGAGGAAATTTATTAATTAAAAGTAATAAATTACCTCGAACCTTTTGTTTTTAGTTGGATATCCCATTCCCATACACTAGGGGAAAATCTTCAGCTTGACATTAAATATGAAAGGGAAGTACCCCAAAAATATCCCTGTCAACTTGGCAAATATCAGATTTGATCTTAAAGTTGACCATCTACAACACCCCCTTGATTACCACCATCATAGACACCACTGGGATTTTCAGTAGCAGCTGTTTGATACAGGATGTTAGCTGCATTAGCATCATAGTCACCGCAATCGGATAGCGAGCTGTCGTCCTTCTCTGGACAATCGAGTTGAAGACATTCAGGTACTTCAGTGCTACAATTTTCTGAACCGAGGCTTCTACTTGAGGATTCCAAATCTTCTTTCTTGACGATGTTGAGCATAAGTCCGTTAAGTAGCCTTTCAGGCTGCAGGAGATCACCTTCAGAGACCATAATGCTTGAACCATTAATCGGTGGTCTATTCCCGAAATCCCTCTGACCAAACTCGTGTTCTGAACCCCTATCTGTTGTCATCATCCTTGGGCTGTGACTAAAAGAATCCCCACCATCCAACTGAAATCCGGGAGAACTAGGATGAGCCATCAGACCTTTGTTTGCTTCAGCTTCGGCATCTAGGTTTTGGAAAAAATCGATCAACAAATTTGCAGAAGTTGTCCTCATTAACGGGCCACCGGATCTTGTCCAAGAATGCACGTTTACACCATCAGACTCACTATCACTTCCATCACAGGCAATGCGATGGGCTCGCAAACTCCTGCCAGGAGGTGGCATCCCTGACGAACTCCCTACCCCATGATGCAAAGATTCTAAGAGATCTTCAAGGGAGCCAGTTGAGTTTTCTCTAGCAATGCAATTCCAAGAAGGAATTCTCTTTGAAGCACTGAATCTGGCTGTGTTGATGGGTCCATGAGATGAAGCAGAGGTAGCAGCAGCTCTATCAGCGCTCCGTTTAAGCCTACGCATGTGATTAAGAATCGAAACACACTCGTCAAGGGCAAGCTCAATGCCACAGTTTGCTTTCATAGCTGAAAGCTTCTCCCAAGTGCATCTTCTCCCTTGGTTGACTGCCTTTTGAAGCTCCACAAGATTAGGGTTTTGAAGAATTTTCAAGTACTGTTAATAGTTACAACCATAAAAAGAAACATCCAGTCAGTCACCATTGAAAAGATTATCGAATGATATGGATAGGAACAACAGCAAAGATAGACTCGGTTAATATATAAAAGCTGAAGCTACTCTGCCCATTTCTCAAAATAAATACAAATCTAGGTTTGAGTGCCACTAAATGACACTTTTACCACTTTCTAATTTGAATGTCACCAAAGGCAAGCCTTAAAATGATTTTGAAGGTACCTGAGAAACTGTGGCTGGCATAACAACAGTAACATCACCTTCCCAATCTTGAGCAAATATCTTGGCAAGTCCCCCCATCCGAAAGCCCAGTTCGAGTATTTGACTACATCTATGTTTAACCTCCATCTCAGTTAGGTGCGCAAGCTACAATTTGAAACGATAAAACTAATTTATTTCATTTCAGCATGAAAATAATAGGGCAGGTAAACTTACAGATTTAGTAATGACCAACAAGTTCGTAATGCATAAAATATTTTAAATACAGCCATACAGATCATTTTGTTCCTACGAAAATGCATTACCAACAAAATGAATTTCTATGAATGACTGCAGCACCACTTTCCCCAATAAAACAGCATTTGACTGAAAACCTTGTCTGATATCTCTACGTAAATTATAAGATTAGTTACTCTATTAATCATTGGGTCTATATGTCAGTGCATGCCTATGCATCAGAGAGAAACTAGAAGGCCATGGTGGTTAAGGTCAGAGATTTATATTACACAATGATGAGAAGAAAACATAAACCAAGATAAAAGGATTTTTTTTTCTTTCTTGACCATACACATACCTTTGCTGCGAAGTTACCACCAACGGCTCTCGCAAACTCCTTCATCCTCAACCATGGTATGATATGAGGGTTTGCCTGACTCACAATGAAATGATTGACATTGAACAGCTCCTTCAGTTGCATCATAGGTAAGTCAACCTCCAAGCTTCCATCCCTCCATCGACGTGGAGTTGTGCTAGAACCCTCTTCAGGATCCAAATTAAAGGGAGGATGATAAGGAACAAGTTCTCCACTCCTATCTTTTGCCATTAGCTCCTGGGCTTCAAAAAGGCCAGGAAAGGCACAAGAAGCGCTTACAGCACTCCATATGACAACATGAGGCGAAGTCAAGTAATTAAGGCATCTAGGTGGCTCATGCTTCCTTGGAGAGCAAACCGTTATCCCAAGAACCCGTCCAGTCATATCATAAGCTTCTTGAAATGTAAGATTACTTGTGAGGTGTCTTAACATCCATTGCAAGTGCCTGATCTCATGAACAGCCCTTTGTCTCATGACCCTCCTAACAACAGTAAATATTCCACCCAGCTGATCATAAAACTGCAATGAACGCCAAGAGTCTTCAAAGAAACTTTGCAGCTCAGGCCATGACCTGGTGCCAACAATAGCACACATAATGGATCCTACACTAGAACCAGCGATTATCCTGGGTAAAAGCTTATGCTCTACTAGTGTTTTAACGATACCAATATGAAATGCTCCAAGAGAAGCACCCCCACTTAAAAGCAAAGCAGTTCTACCAAATGCATGCCTCGTTTCATGCATAAAAGCAAGCTTCTCTTCCAAGGAGAGCTCCTCTGAATCAGAGTCACAAACCATTCTCAACTGAGTCGAGACCTCATCAATATAATCCTTGATGAGTTTAGGCACCTGAAGCCTTCCTTTATGAAGCTCAGGATTACACATATTACCAAGATTTCGTATAAGATCAGCTCTCATGCAAAAGATTATATCCCTCAAAGATCCATCTTCTCGGCGATGTCGGAGCTCCTGAATTTTGTTTCTCACAAGTTCCACGTCATAAAAATTTGATTCGTTCATCTTTGGGGTCTCTTTATCAAGCATCTTAGCAGCATGAGCCCACTCTTCATATGTCAATGTGGTTCTCATCATATTTCTCCAAAATTTCCTTCTATAAGCCATTTCAGCCCTCAATTTTACATTTGTGTATCGTTTCAACAAAAAAGCAATAATTGTCACCAATGCCAATATCCCTTGTGGATTTCGGGGATGCAACCATGATAGAATGGGCGAAAAGAAGTTCTTAAATCTATAGAACAAACCCAACAACACACGAAATATTTGATGCCTGAAATGTGACATTGACTTACACAATAGGATCCTAAAAGCAATCGTTCGACCAATTATTGTCGAGGGACCAATCGAAAATGAATCAACACTGGCCTCATTACTTATATCCATAGCTAGTTTACAATGTTATTTTCCTGTGTTAGGAAGGTTTGCTAATTTGTAACAGCCACGAATGTGGACCGGATAACAAATACCGAACCAGAGAACGTTGATCTAAAGTAAATATAGGTGGTCAGCAGACAACAAATGTTCTAAAAGGGTATGAAGAATGGAGACAGTATTGGCTTTGCTTTGCACCAAATTGAATTCAGAAGCACTAAAGATCAATGAGAAACCGATCCTATAAGCCTAATTTCACTTCCTTCTATTGTATACGTACTTAAATCTTTAGCTATAGCATTAAACGAAAAAAAAGGAGAAGATTCGAATATATAGAAAACCAGCAGAATAAAAGGCAATCCTATTTGAACATGGTATGACGCAATGAAGGGATACAAGTGAAAGTTTGCAACAAAATTTTCTTAGTATCTACAAAAAGAAACAAGTCAAAGAAGAACCCTGGATTGTAATTACCAACAAGGACCCAATTCTCTTAATATCTACAAAAACAAATCATAGAAACCCCAGAATTCCAATTCACACCAACGCACGAGAGTCAAGAACCTAACGGAACGAAGCCCAGAAACTCAAAAAGGGGCCTGAAAGTTTGCCTATAATATCGAATTTTACAACTTACCTAACCAGATAAAGATCACGGGTTTTCCTTTGGCAACCCGAAACTCGCAAATACAAACGAAGGAAAACCCGGGAAAAGAAAAGCAGATACATCCATATTGTGCCTGATATAATGAAAGCAGCAGCAGCAGCAGCAGCTAAATATAAGGTGAAAGCGAAACCATAGGGTGAACGTTAGGATGTGTGAAAGAGAGAGAGGTGCCGATAGGGCCGAAGATTCAGGATAGAGTCAGTGAAGATTTGTGTAATAAAATACGCCCAAGATAAGCAAAATCAACGACAAGATAAGATTCTGATTGTTGGTAAACCAATTTTCTATTTATAAAAAAGAATAAAGAAGAAGAGAGTTAAAGGGTCATTGAATGGTTTTTGCGCAAACGACGACAGGTTTTTGTCGCTTCCTCTTGAAGCTTTTATTTTCTTACATGCTCTAACACAACATGGTGCTTTTTTTTTCTTATTAGAATATAGGGTAAACGACTCAAATGATATCGATTATAGATATTATTTTATTATGTAGGTTAATTATTAAAATTTATAAAATAATATTTTGATTATAGAGTATTATTTTATTTAGATACTCGACTATTAAAAGTTATAAAATGATCATTCGATTATTCATTATGTTCTAAACTCGTCCTTTTTCGTTAAAAAAATTAGTGATTGTTTAAGTTAAACGTTAACATGATGATTGAAATATAATAGTTATTTGAGATTTTATGATTAATTTTTTTCATATCACAATCAATAAATTAACGTTCACCTCATAATATCGTCCATTTTTAACAAAAAAGGAAGAGTTTGGAACATAATGAATAATCGAGTGATCATTTTGTAATTTTTAATAGACGATGAACTCAACAAAGCAACAAACTATATTTGAAAGACTATTTTGTAACTTTTAATTGTTAAGAGACTTAATAAATCAATATACTATAATCGAGAGATTATTTGTGTTATTTACCCTAGAATATATTTCAGTTTGGTATTTAACGTTTCATTCCGTAACTCAAATTGGGTCAGGCCGTGATGGATCGTAAATTTTGGCCGTTAAGTGACACGTGTCACAACTTGATAATTTTAAAAAATTATTTAAAATTAAAAAATTAAAATTATATATATATATTAAAAAGAAAACATAAATTTTGAAATAAAACCAAAACTTTGAAAACTTTCATTTCAATTCCTAAACCCACATCAGTCGTTGTATTTTGCCGTCAACGAAGCTCTACTTGACCTCTCCTTCCCTTGCCAACAAAAATCCCTATGAAATCGTGACCGATCGGCGGTCGATCGACCGTGGGAATCGCATGGGATTGATATTTTTATCCTAGGGTTCCCGGGGTATAAAACGTTAATGCTGAAATGAAGGTTTTCAAAGTTTTGCATTTATTTTAAAATTTTTGTTTTCTTTTTAATATATATATATATAATTTTAATTTTTTTAATTTTAAATAATTTTTTTAAAATTACTAGGTTGTAACACGTATCACTTAATGATCAAATTAATGTCGTTGACGGCTAAGACACCTAAATTAATAACGAAATGAAATATTAAACATAAAATTAAAATAAAATAAACGTTAAACACTAAACTATAACCAAAGGCATACGTTTGTCCACTTTTGTATATTTAAGCCAAAAGAAGATTACTCACAATATAGACATGATAAATTATTCAATAAGCAACTATCACAATAGTTAATTAAAATTTTCTTTAAAAGTATATTTTTAAATACCATTTTATATTTTGAAATTAAAAAAATATTTATGTTATTATTTTCACTATACCGACAAATTGTGGCGGTGGACCATAGCAATATGCATTGACTTTTTTGAATTTGAATGCGAATACGTATAAATAAATATGACAAGTAAGCCTAACGTACGTGCCAGTCCCATCACCCCATCAGTAGCTCATATGAATCACTCCATTTATTATTAAGTTACTGAATTGATGCTACAAATTAATAGGTACTCCTGACAACTTAATTAAAAAATAAAAATATATTTTAATATTATTATAAAAATATTTGTATATATTTATATAATTATTTAATAAAATAATTAAAAAAATCAAATCCAAGTAGAGATTAATTAGAATTCCACTAACATTGCAACTTATTTAAGAGCTTACCCGATCAAGATGGAGATCCAAGAGGACAAAGATATTGCTATAAAAATTCTTCCATTTACTCTTGGAGTTAGGGATGGTAAACGGGCGGGTCGGATGCGGATACTCCTTCTCCCATCCTCATACTCACCTATTATTTTTCAATCTACCACCCGTCTACCACCTATGATGGGTACAAATTTTTAAATTCACACCCGCTCACGCGGGTACATTTTCAAATACATCCCCACACCTACTACCCACTAGCGACATACCCATCTAGACTCGCCTGACAACAAACTAATGAGATGTTGGAGTTGGTTCGCAGACAGTTCGTGATGGGATAGCAGCGCATGCTTCATTTTGTCAGAGGAGTGGCTCTACGAATGTTATGGAGACATATTGTAGGGAGCATGTAGTCGCAGAGCTGGATTGTTGTGTTGCTTTCGATGTTAATGCTCATAGTGCGCCTAATATGGGTTTTGAGGGGTTAAAGAACATGAAAACTGCTGCTTTTGATGTTAATGTTTATAGTACGGCTAATTTGTGTTTGGATGGGCAGCATGTGCTAAAGAACATGGAAAGTGACGTGGTTAGTGGGATTATGAGTTTAATCAAAGAGCTGAATATTTCCCTAATTAAATACCAGATTAAAGACTAAATATCATTAATATTTAGTTAAATTATATGTTATATATTATATAATATTAAAATTTATAAATTAGTCTCTAAAATTACACCTAAATTCATAATAGTCCAAAATTTAATAGATATTTAGCTGGGCGGGCGAATGTGGGGCAGGCGGATGCGGGGCGGACGGATGCGGGGCGGGTAATGTCTCAAACCCATTAACCGCCCACCACCCACGACGGGTACCACTTTATAAATCCACAGCCGCCCACTACCCGCTAAAATTATACTCATCCCCGCTCCAATTAGAGCGGATGCGGTGCGAAATCCACGAAACTGTACCCGTTTGCCATCCCTACTTGGAGTCGCAGTTCAAAACTGTGCGTACCAGAGAGATCCCATCTGCTCAATCTCAACACGATCCTTCTTTTTTATAATTTTGATCGGGCAAGTGCTCAATGAACCATCTTTCTGAATCCAAGTCGGCAACAGAACCCGCAACAAAGAAAAAAAACATACATAAACTTCAACATTATCCCCTGCTGCCGTAGATTGAAGGAATAGATTTCCGATAGCTGCATTTTTTGCAGCAAGCTGCGAGTAGCCGAGCAGGAGGCAATTTCAGGGAGGCGAAAAACAAAGCCTGGTTAGATCCTGCATTCTTGGCATTGCTCCACAAACAAACACATTCGTATAAATCGGTATGATTAGACATAGACAGCATAAACTATACTTTCGAGTTTCTTGTCTAAGCTAATGGGATATCCTTCATTCAAGAAAATAGTAGTAGCCAAGATAATTTCTCTGCGGATAAGATGCTTCATCAATTCTCCAGTCCTTCAACTCCATCTATGTGCCATAACTCATCCCAAAATAATCCAATAGAGAAACCTGGTACAAAAACTACCACATTTAAGGAATTATGCAATGAACCGCTGGCACAATCGAAGCCAAATAAAAAGAACGGCCAAAATCAAGCCGATATCCAACAAGACAAATATTGTTAATTGATCGAGTACATGAGAACTTATTCATTACTCGAAAGTACACAAAGGAGATGGAAGGGAAGAAACCAAAAGTTAAGAGACCCATTTACCTACATCGCAGTATGAAATTTTTTTTCCAGGTTTTGCAGTAATTCACAGATGTAAAGGGTATTCTCATGGTCTTCAATATACATTGTTAAACTCTTCAAGAATCGAAATGCCATCCGTATAAAGGAAATTAGCAAGCAATAGCGGTTTTACATAAAATTCATATCACTAGAATGCTAGCATTCCACTTGAAAATGAGGTTGAGATGACACACCAAGGATAATGAAGAACAGAAGAAAAATATTGTTGATAATTGTATTGGAAGCATTCGATTACGCAAACATTAAACCACTCAAACTAATTGTTCCAAAAGCTACTAAAAAGCTCCAATAGGAGCCAAAAATACATGGGGGCAAAAAGATCAAGTAATTAAATGGAAATTTCTGAAACCTCCTCATCTACTCCTCTACTGCATCTTTTCTTTTTCTCTTCTTCTTTTTCTTCATTTCACTTTCATCGGGCCCCCGCATCGTTTGCGCCATTAACAACAGCAATAGCCTCCTCACTATCTTCGCCACCCTTCTTCTTCCTTTTCTTTTTCTTCTTTTCACTTTCACAACACCGTGCATCATTTGCACTATTAACAACAGCAACAGCATCGTTGTTGTCTTTGTTCTTTTCACTTTCATCACCCCTTGCATCATCTGGCACTAACAACAACAGCAACCACCTCCTTGTTCTCATTGTTCTTTTCACTTTCATTACTCAATGCATCATTAGCACTAACATTATCAACAACAATAGCATAATCACTCTCTTTGTCCATCTTCATCATCTTCTTCCTCTTTTTCTTATTTTCACTTCCATTACACCTTGCATCATTTGCACTATTAACAACGGCAACAGCCTCCTTGCTGTCTTTGTTCTTTTCACTTTCATCACCCCCTGCATCATCTGCACTAAGAACCGCAACAGACGCCTCAAACTCTTTGTTCCTTTCACTTCCATTAGCCCCTTCATCATCATCACTAACATTATTAACAGCCACAGCCTCACACTTTCTTTTTCCTTCCTCATCTTCTTCTTCTTGTTTTCACTTTCATCACCCCTTACACTCTGCACTATCAACGACAACAACAGTTTCCTCACTGTCTTTGTTCTTCTTCTTCTTCTTCTTCTTTTTCTTCTTCTTTTTCTTCTGTTCACTTTCATCAACCCCTGCACCATTTTCATCATCAACAACAGCAACAGCCTCCTTGCCAGGGTCAAAAGTATCCTTCGAACTCCTCGAACTGGAGATCTTCGTTGGTGACAGGGTCAAAAGTATCCTCGAGCCAATCGGCGATGTCGTTGCCATCGGAGACATCATTCTCGGTGTTGTTGTAGAAGTCATCCTGGTGCTGGCTGATCCAGTAGTCCTCGTACCATGCCGTTGTCGTCACTAGTTGCCACCATTCTGGTGAGAAATCCTCTACTTGGCGATAAACAGCTGGGACAAAGAGAGGGGCATTGGGGTTCAATGTAGACGTTCCTGATCCCGCAACCAGAGTCATTCTTATACCGATCGTGGTTATTTATCCCTTAATTCTGTAATACGCAACAATTTAAACGGAATCAACAAATGATGGATGATTAATCAGAATTCAGAAATTCCTAAGATTAGAACATTTCATGTCCTCTCTAACTCAATCACTTCAAAAGATTTAATCTATTCATAAGCAGTTGGAAATTGGAACCAACGAATTGACAAATTCCTAAAATGGAAAAAGTGCAGCGAATCCAATATATGGCAAATCATAAGCCGAAAGAACATCCAAGCACTTTCCAGAATTTGTGTTTATAGATTCCAATAACAGACACAGATCATAGAGCACAAGGTTCTTAACTTTAAGGTCGTGGGATCGAGTCCCACGGAGGGCATTTCATAATTTGGAGATCTCCTACGGAAACTGCTCTCAACGGTGATGGAGTAGCCTACTATCTTACCTCCCCTTACCTCATATATATGGAAAAAAGGGACAGCCATTTAATAACAGACACAGATCAGCAGATAGTAAAGGTTTCCAGTTTCCCAAACTTTGAAAAGCGTTCAACGATCTGATCACTTGTGAAACACCGAAAAGTTAAGTGAAGGATTCAAAAGTGGAGGACCGCATCCATTCATGAGTAAAGCATAGAATTAAAAAATCATGGTTTAAAATTCAAAGTTCATACCATCACTGTCGATGCCTAATCTATCAAATCAAGAGATAAATGAGCTTGGTAACAGAATCCCATAAGCTTAAAGATCTTTAAGATGACACTACCGTTTGTTTACTGAGAAAATGAAGCACTTACTACTCGTACATGCAACCTTGCTTTCATCCGTATTTCAATTTTATATCGACTAACAAATTCAATCCATTTTCCACCACTCTTCTTTCACTTTCTCACCGATCAAACAAAAAAGCAAACTCTGAAGAATTGATGAAAATGTCAGAGATATAAGATTAAGAGAGCACCTTTGCGCAGCGTGATCGTAAACTCTTTCGAAATACCTCTCTGTTGAAAATCCTTGGTAGAGAAGAGAGTTAAGGTTCGGTATTATCCAAAGCCATAACCTAACAACAACAACAACAAAACACTATGGTATGCAATACGGTAAAAAGAGACAGGGTAGTAGGCTGTCCCAACGTTAGTATTGAGAGCAATTTTCGTAGAAGACATCCGTCAATTAGAAAATTAAAAATAAATATAAAATATAATACATGTTTAAATAAATAAAAAATACATAGTTGAACAGTCTTCAAATGCGCATCTGTAATGGGAAGTAATTCCTGCAAATACATCACTGCGTAAAAATCTCTGCATATAGACAGAAACGTAAGACCCGATAAAATTTAAAAAGAGGAAACCTGAAGAGAATGATATACAATAGTCAACGATAACATGCTACGAGAATGAATAAAGTCAAATGAGTTGCAACCTAAACTGATGCAACACTATTCCACTACCCTAGTTCTAAGCCTTCATAAATTCTAATAACATAAACGTATATAAAGTAGAAGTCATGGAAATTATTACAAAAGCATTAAAAAGAAGACAGAGATGTTACACCCTATGTCTGTAACTCGCACTACTCAACTACCCTGGTCTTAAGTCTCCATACTTTCCTATCAGAGGTCATGTCCTCGGTAATGGCTAAATCCTTTAAATCAAATCTCAAGCAGTCTTCCCACTTTCGCCTTGGTCGTCCTCTCCTTCTGGCACCGTCGACTGTAATCGACTCTACCCTCCTGACCACATCTTCGCCTAAGGACATGCCCAAACTACCGTAGTATTCCCTCCCTCAATTTTTCGGATATAGGCACCACCCCCAAGGACATCCTAATAGCAGAGTTTGGTGTCTTATCCCACATAGTCCTACCACATGTCCATCGAAGCATTCTTATTTCTGCGACCTTCATCCTCCTTACGTGATCCTTCTTGATTGCCCAACATTCTGATCCATACAGCAGCGCTGGTCTTATTGTCATTCTATAAAATTTTCCCTTAAGTTTTAGAGGCACCTTCTTGTCACACAAAACTCCAGTAGCAGCCCTCCACTTTAGCCATCCCGCCTTTATACGATGTGCAACGTCATCATCTACACCCCCATCTTTATATATCATAAACCTTATGTACTTGAAACATTCCTTTGAGGGGATAACGTGTCCTTCTATGCATACTTCTACATATTCATCGTTTTGGTTCTCACTGAAGTTTGAACATAAATACTCTGTCTTTTGAATATTGATCCTTAGACCTTTTTCTTCCAAAGCAGTCTTCCAGGCAGCAAGTCTACTATTCAGCTCAGTTTTTGTTTCAGCAACTAGGACAATGTCGTCAACGAAAAGCATACACCATGGAACACCGTCTGGTGTCGCACAAAAGATGTCGTCCATAATCAAGGCGAAGATGTAAGGGCTAAGAGCCGACCCCTAGTGGAGTCCGATTTCCACCGAGAATGCCTCGATGTCGCCAACTGTAGTCCTGACGTAAGTAGTAGATCTGCAGTACATATCACGAATCGCCCGGATATAAGCAGTTAAGATCCGTCTCGTTTCCAAGGTCTTCCAGATCGTATCGCGGGGAACACTATCATACGTCTTCTCAAGGTCAATGAACGCCATGTGAAGATCTCTATTTTTTCCCTATATTTCTCCATAAGCCGTCGAAGTAGATGAATCGCCTCCGTAGTAGACCTGCCTGACATAAAGCCAAATTGGTTTTCCAAAACCCTAGTAACCTGTCTCAACCTAGCCTCTATCACCATTTCCCATAGCTTCATGGTATGACTGAGTAGTTTAATACCTCTGTAGTTGCCACAACGTTGGGGATCTCCTTTATTCTTATAGACTGGTATCACCGTAGACTTTATCCACTCCTCTAGCATCTTGGCAGTTTCTAAAATAATATTAAAGATGTTAGTCAACCATTTAACTCCCTCTTCTCCTAGGGCCAACCACACAGTGATAGGAATTTGATCTGGGCAGACAACTTTGTCCCTCCCCATCTTTCTAAGAGCCATTTTGACTTCCTCAAACCCAATCTTACTTGTAAGGCAGTCATTGACCGCAGTATGATGGTCGGAAAACCCATCAACGACACTATCTCTACAGGAAGAGGCATTGTCATTAAATAATCCAAAGAAATAACTACCCCAAGCCCTCTTAATATCATGATCTTTCACTAAAAGAACACCATTGTTGTCTTTAATAAACCTAATGCTACCTAGATCCCTTTTCCTATTTTCCCTGGATTTTGCAAGCCTGAAGATGTTGTTTTGTCCTTCCTTGGTGTCTAATCTCTTGTACATTTTCTTGTATGCCTTATCATTTGCATTAGCCATAATTTTCTTGGCTGCCCGCTTTGCCTCCTTGTATCTTTGTTTACTTCTCGATCTTTCTTCGTCGTCATTGCATTTTAGAAACTCCTTGAAGCAAGTTTACTTTGTCTTCACCTTAGTTTGGACTTCGTCGTTCCACCACCACGATTCTTTATGTTCCTTGACCTTCCCTGTCAACAACCCAAGGGTGTTTTTGCCCACATCTCTGATTGAATTTGCCATATTTGTCCATAACATATCTGCATTATTTGAGTTTGTAGTTCCAAAACCTGTATTAGACAAAACCTTACTCCTAAAGTCATCAGCTGTCGCTCCATGTAAGCTCTTCCAAAGGATCTTAGGATTACCAAGTTTAGCCCTCTTATGAGTGTTCTGCCCATGGCATACGCGGAACACTAAAACCAACAATCTATGTTATGATACACATGCCTCTTCAGGGAACACCTTACAGTCAATGCAAGCCCATCGATCCCGATTTCGAACCAGTATGTAGTCGATTTGGGTACAATGTCCCCCTCTATGGAACGAAATCAAGTTCACATCTCTCTTGTTAAAGAAGGAGTTAGCGTGTGCTGTAGCAAATTCAAGAAACGTACTCCCCTCCTCATTCCTACTACCAAAACCGAAACCCCCATGAACACTGTCATACCCGTCGGTTGCACTACCTATATGGCCATTGAAGTCGCCCCCTATGAAAACTCTTTGGTCCTCCAGAATGATCCTAAGTACATCATCTAACTGATCACAGAAGTAACGTTTCTCCCCCTCCCCTAAGCCAACGTGTGGGCCATACACTTAAAGGACATTCACCACTTCCGCTTCTATAATAACCTTAATCATCATGATCCTATTCCGATATCTACAAACTTCAACTACATTTTCCTTGAGCCTAGAGGATACCAAGATACCCACCCCATTTCTAGCGTTATCTACGCCTGAATACCATAACTTGTACCCATTACACTCTCTGGTGTGAGCCCCTTTCCACCTAGTTCCCTGAATACATGCAAAATCTATTTTCCTATTACTAAATACATCGGTCAGCTCCAATAACCTAGCATTTAATGAGCCTACATTCAACGAACAAACTCTAAGTCTAGTCTCCTTGACACCACTCTGTCAAGCCCTCCCCCTATACGTCCTATGGGATCTAAAAGAATGACATGACCTCAAGTAATCATCTATAGCTGAATCTATGAGGAACTATGAAAAAGGAATCCAAAGAAGACAGAAGATGCACCAATAAAATGCTAGAGAGTTGAGGGGTACTAAGAAGCCTAGTTGGTTTCTCAATAGGATTTTAAGACAAATTAACACTATCTTACTTAACTTTATGCCTACAGCTAGAAATGAAGTGGTAAAACAACAACAAAATTTATAAATCTTTATAATAGTTATACTCAATTTGAAATATCGATAATCATATAAGATACTATGAGTCTAGGACAATGAAAAAAATACAGATCTAATAAATCATACTCAAAGAAAAGTAGAAAAATATAGATCCAGTAGAATCTACTCAAAGCAAAACTACTTTTCAAGTAAAATAATGAGAAACTCCAAAATTAACAGATCAAAAAGTAATTCGGTCAAGATTCACTAAAAGAAAATTAATTTCCCACAGCTACTGCAAACAACAGAGCTAAATATACGAACGAAAACCACGGAGCAAAAATGAACTCTAAAAAGATCTGAACAAATTGAAGAGAAACTAACAAACAGAAGCATATAGACACAACACAACGAGGTATGTAACTAGATATTTTCAAAACTATACTCAGAAACATTCATATCTAGTCAAAAGAGTGTCCTGAATAGGGATGGCAAAAAAACCCGAACCCGACGGGGAAAATCGAAAACCGAATTAAACGGGGACGGGAAAAAATCGTTTATGCTAAACGGGGACGGGGACAAGTTTGGTAATCCCCGCCCCGATTACCCGATTACCCGGCCCGATACCCGACCCGATATATATTAAAAATAATTATATATATATATATATATATAATATTAATAAATTTAATTTAAATTAAAATATATATATAATATTTATATATTTAATTTAAATATATATATATACCCGGCCCGATACCCGACCCGATACCCGTTTAAATAACCGTTTATGCTAAACGGGGATACCCGTTTCTCCGCGGTTTTCCCCGATTACCCGATAGGGATCCCCATTTAAATCCCCGCGGTTTTTTAAGCGGGAACGAGTATGAGTTTTTTAAACGGAGACAGGGACGGGGAGACCAATACCCGACCCGTTGCCATCCCTAGCCCTGAATAGATAATAAAAGAAATAAGGAAGCAAAAATATAATTAGATCTGCTGGCCCTTTTTGACTTTGACTTATGCGTTAAAAACATTTTTACCGTTCATTATATTATCATTTTTTATCTTCCTCATTTTAAAGCTTCATCTTCACAAATATAAATTGATTTCTGTCGTATATCTAATTTTGATAGATAAATCTCTGAACATAAATGTTTTGTACATACAATAACTTATATTTGAGATTTTACTTAAGCGGTATTAAATTTCTTACCACTTAAATCAATCGTTGTTGATTATTATCATTTAATTATTAAAAACGTACACTTCCAATCAAATAAAATAAAAATTTAAAATAATATAATAGACCAATTTAGATTATATGTTATTTAGAATAAGTGCATTATTATATTAAAAACTCACATTAATTACTTTTTTTAAATCAAATTTGTTAGAAAAATTTGTACCCAAAATTTTTTTTTGTTAGAAAAATACTTTTAAACAGTCTATGTAAGATTATCCCGCGAATTATAAAACGTGTTTAATGGACCTTGCATTTTATAGGATGCGAGACCTATAATTTTTTTTATAAATAAAATCATTTAATTTTGGATAAAGACAATAATAAATACATGAAACTCGTTTTTCATAAAATTTTATATGCAAATTCACTTTTTGAAAAACTTGAGATCATTCTATGTAGATAATTTAAATGTATTTTTCTAACAAACCTAAATTTTTATAGTTATTTCTTAAAAAAATAATGGAGTTTTTTTTAAATATAATAACGCCTAGAATAAGTAATGATAATTTTTAGTACCACAAATATTAATAAAACAATATCCGGAGTCTCATTTTGTTGAATAAAGGTGCCTCAATAATTGCTTATTAAAATTTAGTTAATTTAGGCAGAAGCAGCCTCGCCTTTGTCGCTTTCTTGGTATTGACCAGACTCCATAACGTCTCCATCGAAATTAATGAGCTTTTTAATTATTAGTTTGAAAAATAGTTTTATATTTAATATATATTTTTATTAGTTCTTTGAAAAATAGTTTTATTAGTTTGAAAAAAATCCTAACAAATGAAGCAAAGTATATTTTTATTCCATAAAAATAGTTTTATATTACACTCCGTTTAATATATATATTTAAAGGGAAAAATATAAATATAACTTCGGCGGGTCCCACTCACGGTGGTATGATTGGTCTCGTGCGTGGAGCTAATTGGTTGAAGGGACGGGGACGTAGAGGAAATGCAAAATATATATATATATATATATATATATATATATATATATATATATCAACTTTCAAATAATATCATATCCATTTATTAATTAAGCATTTTAAATCAGAATCATTTTCATCTCATTATATGTTGCATGGAGAGTTATAAGTCCACTTGACATGCCATAAAATTGAGTAAAATTACTTGAAAATGCAAATATAAAATTCAGAATCATTTCATCTCATTCATATTAAATTTATAGCTTCTGCAGTTCATACGTGAAATCATTAATAATTTAAAATACAAACATTATATAAAATACTTTAGGTCATTCATGCCCTAAAATTATTCATAAAAACTTTTTATAAGTATGATGGAATTAT